TACGAGCGGATGCTAGAGGACGATATAGTCCCAGAAACGCAGGACGCATGGAGTGCAAACGACGACAACCCCGAGGTAGAAGCGGAGGAGGAAGGAAGGCCACCTGGAGGACGTCCCCCTTCAGCACCAAAACTCGAGGAAGCTCACGCAACCGCAACTCGAATCGGCGAGTCTGCACCGGAATCCGGGATGACCGCGCCTTCACTAGAAGAGAACCAAGAGATGTCCGCGGATGGGAGGGGAGGTCATGCCGCGACACAAAAGGATCATGGCACGACAGCCCCAGAAACCAAGGAGCAGCTATTATCCGCCCTAACCCATTCTATCCAGGAACATGCCATGCGAAAGCCTCGGCAACAGATTTGGTTGGATTCAATGCAACAACTCTTTGGACTAATTTACCCTAAAAGTACGGCCAAGAAAGCGTCGCTCTCGGCGGTGGCGAAACGGCCCCCAAGGGTACGAAAACGGAGTTGGAGAGGCTCATTGATCTTTTTGAACACATGGTCGTGACTCGGCAGCTAGAGTGGACGGAGTGGGCACAATCGGTGGAGCGAACCTGTCACAATCTGTATCAGTCCAAGCAGTCACTGGAGTCCGTGATAAGTAAGGAAATTGGTCGAGTGTCGGTCCACGATGCGTCAGTGAACACTGTGGTGTTGACGAATTGGGCTCAGAAGGTGACTGGACTAACCAAGGATGGATCCCAAGGCGGAAGTCCCAGCAAAACATTTCTCTTTAAAAAGGGAGTGAATCTGACAGATGAAATAAGGGGCTTGAGAGCTATTTGTGAAAACACATACGGGAAGTACACACGACCGCGTTGCGACAACCCACAGCCGAGGAATGACGCCTTCTACAAGGTATTTTAGAAAGCAACATCCTTTGTAAGCAGCTCCCGCAGTTCCTGAATCGGATTATGCGGACAGAGGGCAACCTCCGAGTAATCGGCACAATCCGAGCGCAAGTAGAAGGCCTGTTAGTGATGTCGTTGAAAGGAGAATTCCCTGTGAAGGAGGCATTTCAGAGCACAGAAAGTCTTCAGGAAAACTATAGCTATCGCGACGACGAGACACGTGGCTAATGAGCAGATATAGGCCATGCTTGGGGCGGTTAAAGCTATCAGCTACAGTGCAGCGAGTCACGAGGTCTACTTTCATTTCTACACGAGGGAAGCGGCCCGTATGTACGAGAATTTGGAAGTCCCCTTTCATAGGGCGGTGCACATTTTGGTGAATGCACACCAATCCGGTGAACAGTCGAAGAAGTCTGTGTGGGACCTACAGTTCGAAGGTGATGGCGAGCTCAGAGTGTCTAAACCAAACTATGTTGTTACGCTACGCAATGTAACCCACGAGGTGGATCTCATCAAGCTTCATGCAGTACTCAAGCATGTTGTTGGAGTGCCGTGTGATCTGAGAGATCTTGACAGCGGTGGACCACAGTCCATCACCTCGACAACGTGGGAGCTCAGCTTCGCATCTGAAGGCTGCCGTAGAGCTTTTACAGGAATAAGTCGGATCATGTGGTATAATTTGGTACTCGTGGTGCAACATCCACACACGCGAGGAAGGAGACAATGCCTTCGTTGTTGGGCATCCGATGAAACACTGTCAGCTAACGGAACCGGCGCTACGTGGTCCTGGAAGCCTGTGTGTAGATGATACGTTAGTAGCATCTCTTTAGATTCATCCAGTGCCTCGAGCAACTAAAGGATGAGATAGTAAACGGCCGAGAAGCGGAATCAAGTGAGGCAGCTCAGAGCCATCCTCCATCCGAAATCACTCATGCTTCATCTCTGACTTCAGACGAGACACAGAACACTTCCAAGGTGGCGAAGCCGAAGCCACAAGAGGACTGGTTTGACGGAAAGAGCGCCAAGCAAAGGACCAAAGAATATCAACAGTCGTCAAACATGGGGGAATAGAAAGCGTCCGGAACGGGAGACAACCAGGAGCCAACCACCAACCACCAAGGCAGCACCAACGCACAGAGTGTGTCTGACCGGAAGACGAATGGATGAGGAGACAGTGGAGGAACTGCGGCAGACCCACTGGTGATGTACTCCACGGGAGATTCATTATCAGAAGAGAAAAACAAACCAGCCCCGCCAAGATCAACGGTGAAACGGAACGCTCAAACATTACGAGAGGCGAATACTGCGCTGCTAGTTAAGGAGGACAGTGCCAAGGAATAATTGAAGAAGGTCTTAAGCCAGGTGCCAGTGATGCAAGGCAATCTGCAATCGATCCGGCATCGCATTACTTCATAGAACGTCGGTCAACACACGGAACAGGGTATTGCAGCGCTTCCTGACGCTCTAGGGGTGATGGGTTCACAGAAGGTGAATACTCCCGGGACAGGGAACCGTCAAGCGTATGCTGTAGCCCAGGCAATCGCAAACTCAAGCTTCGAGCACTACATGGATCATCTAGCCTAAGTGACAGCGCCACTGAAGAGAGGCTGCTCTGCACGATCTCTGCAGGACTTTAAGCTGAAATACCAGCCAGCGGAACGGAGAAACACTTTGGAACAGCTCGGAAGCGGCTACACCAACATGGGATCAGCAGTCTCAGAAGTCGAGTTTCGAAAATTCTTAACTGAATATGGGTCAAGCCCGTTCCGCAGAAAGGACTTTCTACCTGCGGCGTTATGGGGCAGCACCGACACTCTGATGGCCTACGGAACGATGTTACACAGAAACATCATTGTGATCAGCCGGATCACAAGACATGGAGTGGGTATCACTACAAACCGGAGGCAAAGCAAGGAAAGAACCATACTTTTCTGACATGCAGCGAATACCCCCTGTCGGCACCGGGAGTGGTGGAGAAGGTGCTAGAGCTCAAGTACAAAACTGGCGGCGACGATGAGAAGGTACCGATAGTGATGAACTGTCATGCGGAACACTATAGCGCGTACACGCATGGTGTCCGGGTCCCGGGGAGATCCAGCATCAGCAGGAGGAGGAGAAACACCAAGAGGGAGATGGCGAGGACATGAACGATCGGTACGGCGATCAGTATGAGGATGAGGAGGAAAAAAACGGAGGTGAGGATGTAGATATGTACTCCCGAACCATTGCTCAGCATGAAGGCGCGGAGGGACAATCTGGAGTGGCAGACGTAGAGATGGCTGGAGAACTAAGAGATAAACGCTAGGAGGAGAAGGTAGGGCCTATATGTATGTTGTCTCCTACAGGATGTAGGAGGGGAAACGGATACGCAACTAGCAATTCACGAATATGGTAACTCCGAGCACAGTAAGCAGGAAGATCAAGGACAAGAGGTAGGATACGTGGAGCGACAAAAAGGTAGGGCCTATATGTATGTTGTCTCCTACAGGATGTAGGAGGGAAACGGATACGCAACTAGCAATTCACGAATATGGTAAGTAAGCAGGAAGATCAAGGACAAGAGGTAGGATACGTGGAGCGACAACCGGAGGGTAATTGGGACGGAGAAGATGAAGCGAAGGCAGCAACCTCACTGTATGGATCTCAATCCCCCTGGAGTCCGGAAGACTGGGACGGCAATATTGAAGTGCTCAAGGACAAACTGGACGGTCCAACGATCCATCACGCCCTGAAACAGGAAATAGAACATATCTTACGGATTGGAGGACCCAGGACAGCAGAGATACTTAATTTTCTACTGTCAACAGTGACGCAGCTCTCACTTCCGGATCAGAAGCGCTTACTGGCAGCAGATTTGACCGACCCGGAGCAGTGTGCAGGCTTAATGAAAGAATTTCAGATAGCGAGGCCAGTGCTTAAACAATGGCAGCGATATCTGGAGAACCATCTGCCTGCTGATCAATAGCAAGAACGGGATCAGAAAAAGGACGAGGGCGAGGAATCACCAGCGATACAGTCGGACTCAGATTACTATCCCTCATCCGAACAGACTCTGTTACAAAACACCTCAGATTCTCAATCCCCTCGAACGACCCCAGACCGACGACTTCTTCGGGATCCCGATCGACCGCCTTTACCAGGAAAACGAACACATACAGCAATGCCAGTTGTCCGAAAGTACGAAGATGGAAAGGTAGTCAATGCCAACAATCCAGCGGTGCCGTTCAAGAAAAGGGCCAATGACGACACCACTAAAGCTCTGATCAAGATGTTTGAAGAGGCTGCAAGTCATCGACAACGACGTTCACAGAGGAAGCAAGCGTTGCCCAGTTGGCCGCTATACTGAAATGCTAATAATCGACTGTGGGCTAATAGGACGTCAGTGCCATTTCCAGCAGTGAACACGAGAGCCAAGACATGGACACGAACGGTCAGGGAGGAGAGAGATTTGTTACTTCATTTACTGAGGACATTCAGTGCACCACACAAAATTGTGCAACAACTGGATGCACAGGTGATAATTGAACTGACAGAACCTTGGCGCGAGAATTGTTGGTGGCACGATATGCATGAGGGCCAACACAGCGTCAGAGCTACAGCACAACGAAAACGGATGCTCGCCCAATGGAGTCGCCGAGTGGAGCAGTTATCAGACCCCAAGCAACGTTGGGCGATCATCCAGAGTGGAAGCGGGAACGAGCGGAAGATTACGGTTTGGATGCAATCATGAGGCTTTGTTCCGCAGCACACACGGAGCGCCTGAGTAATTATCTCCTCTTTGCGCATATATATGCAGAGAAACTCGCGGCGATGATAGGACAGGACGGTCATCCAGGCGATACCATTACAATTCAGTTACAGAGACATCTGAAAGTCATCAGACGGGTTCCGGAGTTTAACGCAAGCTTGCTGGAAGCAGGCTCAGCCAGGAATGTCTGATGGAGTGGGATTGGACAGTATATGGAACATTCAGTTGCTGGCGAAGACATGCGAAGGCTAGAGCAGGCGTCGGCGTCGGCGCTACAACATCGGAACTAAGGGCACTTCCCAGTCCAAGTTAGGGACTTACCCCAGAGAAGCCTATGATGCTTACGACGAAGCGTAGCAGCACCAGAGAGTGTATTCCACACGATAGATGAACTGGATGTATGCCCTGTTGACAGACAGCGATATTCGTGCCGTCACGCAGAATGTACGAGGTTTCAGCCTCAAAACGAGATGGGGCTGGATGGCTGCTTGGAGAAATGTTCCACGAGCAGAACGACCAGCGCTGCTTCTCTTGCAAGAAACACACGTCACTTCCCAGGAGGAACGGCAAACCTTGATGGAGCGGTGGAATTGGGTATGGGGATTATCTGTCAATGGTCCAGCGCTGTCACATTGGTCTGTCGGAGATCAAAAGACCGCGGGAGTTGGAATATTAGTATTTTCGGAATATAAAGAGGAAGCGCAGCCGTGGAAGCATCATCTATGGACAACCAGAACCATGGCAGTGAAGTTTCAAGCAATGCACATTCTCAATATTTACGCACCATCAACCAAGAAGTTAATCCGGGAAGATTTCTTTAAGCGTCTGCAGCTCTGGGATCTCTCCGCCGGTGACAACGTTATAATGGGAAGAGATTTTAATTGCGTTGAAGATCCAGTGCTAGACCGTACTGGACAGAGACTTAGCAGTCACACGGAGAGTGAGGCTCTTACTCGGTTCATCCAGCATTTAGGTCTTGTTGATGCTCGTCTGCAGCTCGGTTTGGCATTAGACGACTTGGAGTTATCCCCTCATGAACACTTTACGTTTTGGAGAGGAAACTCGGCGAGTAGATTGGACAGATTTATATGTCGTCCACTAGAAGCAGTTGGCTCCAATGGCTCCAAATTCATCTGCCATCCAGACCATCTGACCATGATGAAGTAACATTGATCCTCAGGCCATCTCAGGTACGGCTCAGCAGGACAAGTGGAAACTGAGTTACCTATCTGGTCAAACTCGGCAATCCTGACAGAGTCAAGGAGGATATCTTTCGAGGAATACCTGCGGTGACTAGTGCCTTCTGCCAAGGGGACACCTCGTGGGACAACTATCTGCGAATATGCTAACACGCCATCCAACTTAGTGCAAAACGAGAGAAGAAACGACGTCAACGTTCAGCGGCGAAGCTACAGCGTCAACTTCGCGAATATGCTACCAGCAGGGACCAGTTACTTGCGCGAACCGTGCAAGATCAGCAGGACATGACTGAAGCAAGGCAGGGACGGCGCCTAGAGAGATCGGTAGAGGATGTGCGCTGGCTTTTCAAGAGGACAGCGATATGGGAGCGGGATCAATCGGTCATCCGTATTGATCCACCACCAGGACTTGACTTTGACTCCACTGTGATCATTCCAGATCGATTTATGACAGTTTGGAAGCCGATTCTTGGAGAACGTCACAGTCCGTTGTCAGTTGAAAAAATGAAGACGGCACTACTAGGGTTTGCTACAGTTCCGGAGCATTTCAAAGTGCACGATAACAAGCGTCTACTAGCAGCCATTGACGAAGGCGACCTTCCCCAAGCCGTAACAAGTTTGAAGCGACACAAATCTAGTGGAGAAAATGGCCTCAACAACGATTTTTACAAAGTCTTCGCGCCAGTTATGATTTCACCATTGGTGTCAGTCTGCAATAGTATACTTCAAGGCCATGACCCACCGGAGTCCTTCCTGAAAGAAATTGTGATACCACTACGGAAGAAGGGAGACTCGGTAAATGCGCTTGATTATCGCTCCATATCGCTCTTACAGACCAGCTATAAGCTGTTCGCTAAAGCACTAGCAATGCGTCTGCAACGGTTCCTCGGAAACCTAATTGGTACAACGCAGCAAGGATTTGTCCATGGTCGGCAAATGGATCGAGCAGTGGTGATGATGATGTCACAAATGGATTAATTCACGCAGAACAACTGAACCTGCAGCAGATAGCGAAGGGACTTTATCCTCGACTTTGCTAAAGCTTATGACTCCGTGGACCGAATCTACTTATTAGAGGTGCTTGCGCAGTTCGGATTCTCGCCTGACTTCATTGTTCTGATGAAATGACTACATGACAAAACCACGGCGCAGTTCTTGGTTAATGGAGAACTGTCGGATCCATTGAATGTAAAATCTGGAATCCGTCAAGGGTGTCCATTAGCACCAATACTGTTCATTCTTGCTGTGGAGGTTCTAGCGCTAGGCATTCGCCAAGATCGACACCTCGAAGGGATTCCGGTTCCAATGCGGGACATGTGTGGCAAACATCAGTTCTCGGCTTTTGTGGATGATTCCACGGTTTTCTTCGCGAGGAGTGCTCAAGTCCCCCGGGTGCTGAAAATTGGACGCCGATTTGGACAGTTGTCGGGTCTCCATATGCAGCCGTCCAAGAATAAGTTTATTTTTCTCAATGCCGGTAATACTCCGTTCGAGTGGTATGGTATACTAGTGCTACAACCTGGGGACACTGCCACCTATCTGGGGTATGAAGTTGGAAATTGGACCAAATGCGTCCGGAGTATCAAAAGAAGATTTGGCGACGGCAGAAGGAGCTGCTACTTCTATCAGAGACCGTGTTGACCTGCTCAACGCCATCATATTACCGGCAATCCTCTTCATAGCATAGATGTTCCCTCCGCCCAAGGAAGTACTTATGCAACTAGTCAACATGCAAAAACAGTTTCTTTCCAAGACAGTAGACCCGAGCAAGCACAAGATGAACCCGAGCTTAGTCTTCACACCACGGACTGCTGGAGGCCTCGACCTGATCGCGATACCCGTGGCCATCCAAGCCCAAAGGATTAAATTGGCAACATAGTGGATACTTGGGACTCCTTCACTCTATCGATCGGCTTGGTTTAACTGCAGGGAAAAGAACCGGTGGTGATACCACGGATCGCAAAGGTCAAAGGGATGCCGACTAGCTGGAGCGCAGACAGGAAGCTCTTTCAGACAGAGATCGGCAACTCAACCAGATGTTCAGAAAGCTCGAGAACAAATCACGGCAATCTACATACCAAAGTTTGGCAGCGGAGGCTGCTAAAGATCCGAGGAGTGCAACCTACAAACCCGAGAATGGTGAGCAAATCACGGTGCGAGTGGAGCTTGATAAAGTTACTGACCCCAACGACCTCCCACCAGTGCTCCAAGATTTCTGTGGGATTGGTGGATAATCCATGAATACCGGACAGTGATGCTAAGATACTACGGCGAACAAAGTACAATCGATTATCAGTGTGTGCGTTCAAGGATCTCAACATTATCAGAAGTAGGGATAACCACTATACGGCAACAATTCAAGTCGCAACTGGGTATTATGAAGGCCACACAGTGGCAAAACTAGAACGGTGGCTCATAGCAATTTTAGTTCACTCTCCTCGGCTGAAAAGAGGAGAATCTGTCGGCCAAAACCCCCCTGCGGCTCCGGAATCCGCCTCAATTGCGACGGGATTACACCTGGAAAGTGGCAGCACCGCAGGAGGTCATTGGGTCAACGGAAGACTCAGAAGCGACTATTACACTCGTGCAACAGGTGAATGGGATATACTGGACCGTTGGACAGCATAGGATCGCGAAGCGAGACGCTATAAGCCTGGCGACGTATCCGGGGGAATAGTCTTCCGTCCCAATCCACAGGTACATGGGTATCCTTGGGACGTCAGCGCAAAAACCAGGAACAGGAACGTACGGAAAGACCTCAAGCTACAACCGAGAAAAATGCTCCAGAAATTGGCGTCACCACAACTGGAACAGTTCGTCATCAAGCTGAAAACAAGAGGGCAAGCTGATACTTGGATGAAAGCTGGTCAGAGTCAAACACCCAAACAACTTTGGGATCATAGACACATGCTCACGGACGATCAAGCCTGGGTCGTCTATAGAATGGCAACACATCAACTCAATCTACATTATGAAGGTGAGAACAAGACCGACGGGTGTCACCAAGTGCAGGATACCCAGGACAAGCACGTCACGTTGGCACACATTATGTGGGAGTACCGGCGGGCACAACAATTCTGAAGGAGGTGTCTAGAACATTGGCTGGGGTATGAAGTGTCATCAGAACCTCTACAACACTATCACGAGTTATTCGCGGCAAGAGTGGCGCCGCTAATCAGTGAGAGAATGCAAAAGCGTATCAAGCAGATGGAACGGTGACTATGAGATAAGTCTAAAGAGAATCTGGTGGGATCTGTGCAGTATAGTATACGCACTGTTGTGGCAAATATGGAACCAAGTTGTTCACCAAGGAAAGGCCGGGACAGCACGCCAACAACTGGAAAACTCTGTGCAGTATAGGATATGGCAAATATGGAACCGAGTTGTTCACCAAGGAAAGGCCGGGACAGCACGCCAACAACTGGAAAACATGTGGGCGCAAGGCATCAAGCAATTGCGCGCGTTTGCCCGACGGGAGAGGAACAACCCCAGCTCCAAGTTGTATGGAATTCGCCTGAAACTGAGTCTCGACAGCTTTGAGACAATGGGGATCGAGGCTGAGGCGACAGACCCACCTCCAACATCTAGACGGAAATGCCCGAGACCGGCACTCGTCAAGAGGACTCGTCAATTCCAGGAAGCTATTATCTAAGGTTCAATAGATTCTCATCGTTATTATAAAAGTGAAGATTGGGAACAATCAGCATGCCAAAAACCCGTGCCGAGAAGCTACAGTCACTCTACATATGGATGCATTTCCTGCGTATAAAACTCGTGTTATTGTTATGGCATTTCCTGAGGAAAAGGATATGTTCCCGTATGGCCATGGCTTGAAGAAACAAATCCCGATATAAAATGGTCGGAGCACACAATTTCTTCGGGTGGAAATCCTCATTCTGGAAGTTCTTTTCGCAAGTGCATGAGGCATGACCCCGCGAAGATCGCTGGTGGCTGCCGCTGGCTGGAGCCCTGGCGTGCCAGCAACGATGACTCGGCCCTACTTGTTTTGCACGCACGAAGACTGCGAATCCTGCAAAGGACCGACTCGCGTTGTTGCCGCTAAGTACTTGGGAAAGCTGTTGAAGTCGCAGAACAATGATTTTTGTTTCTTAGTTCAACATGACCCGGGAAGTACCATCCGCAAGTTCTAGATTGGGACATGTTAAAAGGACACCCTACATAATTGCTTGTGTTAAAGTACAAGGACGTCGTATTTCGTTCACATCTGCCCGCCGTACCTCCAACACGTTCGGATGATATTGTGGCTGAAATCGAGCTCGTGGATAATGTACCTGTTGTGCGAAAACATTTCCAATAAGTGAGGATATGAAAGCAGCTATCCGATCATGGACGAAAGAAATACTGGAGGCGGGAATTATTCATCAATCAAAATCACCATACTCCACTCCTACGTTTTGTGTAAAGAAACCGATTAATTGGTGTATAGTCCATGATTTCGGCATAAACACCAAAATACGACTCCCTGCGATATCGGTTCCTCGCAAGGATCATATTTACGACGCTATGCGGAAAGGTAAGTTATTCTCTGCTGTAGTCTGCTGTGGTTGTTCTTTCAGGTGCGCCTGCGGGAACAGGATATCCCGTATACAGCATTCTCTACTACAGACGGACTCTTTGAATATCTGGTAACTCCGATGGAACTTTCGTGCAGTCCGACTGCTTTCAACCGTTCCATTCAGAACGCTTTTGCGGATTAGAAGGAGTTTGCCGTGCTTACTTTGATGAACTTAATGTTTTCACGGAGTTGGACAACCTGGATGAGACTTGGCGGCACTGGCGAAAGTATTGAAAACGTGCAAAGCAAGAGTTTATGTGAAGCTCTCTAAATGTACATTTTGTTCTAGAGAAATTCCGTGTCTAGGAGATTTTATTGGCTGTGATGGCATTAGAATGGATACGGACAAAGCGAAAGTTATCCATGAATGGCCGCTTCCTCGCATTCAAAAC